TATTTGTTTCTACAGTTTTGGTCCTGAGGATAGATGTCTTTAATCTGCCAAGATTTCCAGCTCTTCCAAACAGCTGTGTCATTGGCAGCAGCCCAGGAATCAATAAAATATATGGTTCATTGTGGAGAATGTCATCCAGGGCTGTGAAGAAGGTTTTTGAGTTCTGCCCTCTGAGCACAAGGGACCACATCCACTTTTGGTTTTGCGTAGTTGGTGCTAAAGCTGAGCATTTGCAGCAGGCCAGTGAACAACATCAGTCTTGAGTTTAGCCAAACCATCAGTGAATCAAAGATCTCATTCATTGATCTAGTGGCTTTCTTTGGGGAACAGAGTTGGGGGAGCTACCATTTTTTTCATGTAAAGCCAAGAGGTCAGCTACTTTCTTGAGTGTCTTTTTTTTTTTTTTTTTAAGATATATTTTAGAGCGAGCGAGGGAGTGGGGGAAGGGGCAGAGGGAGAAGGAGAGAGAATCTTAAGGAGACTCCCTGCTGAGCACGGAGCCCGACTCGGGGCTCCATCCCACGACCGTGAGATCGTGACCTGTCCCGAAACCAAGAGTCAGACCTTCAACCGACTGAGCCACCCACGTGCTCCTTGAGTGTCTTATTTCTATTTGAGAAGTGAGACTTGGTGGGCATGTTTTACCTTGCTGGTTGAGAAGTCTTGGCTGATGCACTCCCAAATGGCAGTATCAGGCTAGAGAGCCTCAAAACCTCAATGGATCAGGCATCAGTTTTAACAGCCCAACAGCGAGCTAATCCTTTCTTTTCAAAGGGAGTGTACCTTGTAGATGTGTCAGGGAATTGACAGGTACAAAACCCAAGGTATACCTTGTGGGTGGAACCTGACTCCTTTTGTCACAAGCTTTAATCTGCAAAAGCATCAGTCTCAAAGACTTCTAGTTCAAAGGGGCCATTAAGAGTTGTAGGGCCCCCAAAACAGAGAATGTGCCACAGCTTGATGGGCAACTTCCAGTGCAACTTTTTGGTTGGAGCTGCACTTAAAAGATCCTGATTTTCAGATTAGCTGATATAAAGAAGAAAGTAGAATGCCCAAGTGAGGTACATGCTGTTTCCAGTACCCAAAAAAGTTCAATAAGGTGCCGACCTCATTTTCATTAGGGAGAGGGAGGAGGTAAAGAAACACAGTTTTTCATTTACTGCTGGAGGGACTGAGTGTTGTGAATCCACCGTACTTAGTCCCAAGAAACTTCACTTGTTGAGCAGGCCTCTGAATTTTGTTGAGGGTTCATCAACACCTGCTCATGGAGATATGCTAACATTGAGGTCAGGGCCTTTGAGACAGACTTCTAGCTTTCCAGTCAACAGGACATCAATATTGTGTAAACTTTAGACATCACAAGATAGAGACACTCGTGCTAAACCCTTACCAGCTGCTGGTGGCATCTGTCAGGGGGTTTCTTCCAGTAGCTCTTCCCATTTGGGACAATCCATATCTGATATTTACAGAATATGGCAGTGTAAATCCATACCAGTTCCTGCTTTACATTCAGATGTCAAAGCAACAATAGTATAGTAGAATCAGCCCCACCCACAGGGTTAAGACAGCCTCCCTTTCCTGCTGTGAACCTTGCCCAAACCCCATTAGTTGAATGTAAGTGCCTCCTCTGCCCATGGTAGGATGGTGAGTTGGACACCTGAATCTAACAGAGCCATGAAAGTTTGAGTTGTTCCCATTCCTGAGTTTCCCTCCACATCCTTGGTTGGGTATGTGGTGTCTTCACTATACCTTTGGGGACAGGGAGGCCTTGGCTCCACCCCTGGTTATCTTCCTCCAAGCAGGTATGGGGGGAAGGAAAGTAGAAGAGGAAAAGATATGGAGGGAGAAAGTGACTCCATGCCAGTGAGCAAGGCATATTTACTTTTGGTTTCAAGCAGATGAAAGCTGCGTGTAGCTTAACTAAACATATCTCAAGTGTTTTCAGCCCATCAAAAGCCCTCTATCAGCCAGCAGGGTCATCATTACACCATTTATTTCCGTTTTGGGGACCCCTTGATTCAGCTGCCTTGTCCACATTGCTTTTCAATTGGGGCTGTAAGATTTTTTTTAAAGATTTATTTATTTATTTATCTATTTATTATCTATTATTTATTTATTTTTATTTAAGAGAAGGAGGGCAAGCACACAAGCAAGGGGAGGGGCAGAGGGAGAGGGAGAGGGAGAGAATCTTGAGCAGAGTCCCTGCTGAGCGCAGGGCCCAACATGGGGCTTGATCTCAGGTCCCTGAGATGATAACCTGAGTGGAAATCCAAGAGTTGGATGCTTAACACACTAAGCCTCTCAGGGACCCCAGGGCCATAAGATTTATATGCCTTTTGGCTGACTCAGTTGACTTGCACATTGGTGGTTTTGTAAAAAAGGGTGTACATTAATCCTGGACATTTGCTGCCCTGTTGTCATGATAACAACTCTTATGTTTTTACCTGATTTAACATAAAAGTTGGGATTTTCAGGAGGCCTGACCATAAGAATTTATATTGTTTTGGATTCTTTTCTCATTCTCTAGTGACTCATCTTCGTCAGCATTATAAACCCAATTGGCGGGAAGATTTACTAGTCAGCCCCAAGAGCGCCATAGCATCCTTATGGCAGCCAGGACATACTGCAGAAAAAAAACCCTGAGACCTTTTACAGTCCTCTCCACATGGATCTAAGGTGGACAAGACAACACTGCAGGAGAGGCTGAGCCCTGTGATGGCCCAGGTGTTGCCATTCTTCTTGATGAGCATCATGTTGCCCCCTCATCTTTCTTTTCTTTTTTTTTTTTAAAGATTTTATTTATTTGACAGAGAGCACAAACAGGGGGAGCGGCAGGGAGAGGGAGAAACAAACCGGCTCCCCGCTGAGCAGGGAGCCTGATGTGGGGCTCGATCCCAGAACCCTGGGATCATGATCTGAGCCAAAGGCAGATGCTTAACAGACTGAGCCACCCTCATCTTTCACATGGACTAGCCAAAGTTCTAATGACTCATTTCTGTTAGTAGCAGTTGCACATTACCCTCCTGTCACCCTTGGTTTAGGTAACTTGTCTGTAATGGGGCAAGACCATCTGTCTCTACCCCTGTCCCCACTGTGAATCTTCGTTGTTTTGATGAGTTAAACTTAAGGCTGACCACCAGGTTGGCAGGGAAGTCCTCCCCCAACCCTGGGAGAGTTTGCAACACCAGGAAACCATTCTAGCAGCTGTCCTTGAACTTACTGCCCAGTACTCATCCTGCAACTTCCCAGTTTTTCCTCATTATAGGTGTTTCAGTTTTCTGAGGCTGCCATAACAAAGTACCACAAACTGGGTCCAACAGAAATTTATTGTCTCACAGTTCTGGAAGCTGGAAATCCTAAATCACAGTGTTGGCTGGGCCAAAAGGCTCTAGGGGAGGAGCCTTCCCTTGCCTCTTCTAGCTTCTGCCAGCCCCAGGGGTTCCTTGGCTTGTGGCAGCATGACTCCAATTTTTGCCTCCCTCTTCATTCGTGTTGCTGTCTTCTGTCTCATGTGTGCGCGTGTCCAAATGTACTTCTCCTTATGAAGACAGAGTTGTATTAGAGTAGGGTCCACTCTAATGACCTCATTTTAACTTGGTTACATCTTTGAAGACTGATTTCCAAATAAGGTTACATTCACAGGTATCAGGGGTCAGGACTTCAACATATCTTTGAGGGACACAATTTAACTCATAGGCAATTAAATGGAAGACCATGCATTGCCCAGGTGACCCTACAGTTTGGTCAGCATTTTTGCTGCCAGCTCCAGTGGACTTCCTCACATCCCATTATTTGCTCCTTGGGGCCTCATCCTTTGTGTTCCAGAAAACCTTGTCTTTTTTTGGCATCCTTTCCTTGGTGCCAAAACCTGGCAAGAAGTGTGACGGATCTGAGATTTTACCCTGTTTGCAAGCCAGCAAGCTATCCTGCATAGTTTCATGGATGCTGATAGAAGATATGAGACTGTTAAGTCAGAAAGAGTTTACTTTTTGCACAGCAAGCAGCGTGAGTTTTATATTTGTGCGTTTTCCCTTCTCCCCCAAAGGGGTGACATAGAGTGGCCCAGGTGAATGCTATGCATCTAGTTCGTTTACATCACAGCTGAAGCATCTCCAGCTTATTAGGAAGCCCACATCTTAGGGAATAGGCTGGAAGCAGACCTGCCCAACCATCGCTCCAGAGGGAGCCATACTCTGTCTTTCCAGATTGCTGGCTGTACTGCAGATAGCCTTGAAGAGAGTCCAGAAGAAAAGCTGTCAGGACAGGAGACGTGCAGAAACATGAGACTCATGGATAATTGTCTCCCAATAGTTGTCTTCTCTTATTGAGGGTATTGGATTGTGAGAAAACATTTTATACTGTCTATATGGAGCTTTGGCAGGTATATTTGTGCACGTGTTTTGTCCTGGTCTGTGGCTTGCCTTTTTGTTCTCTTATGTTTGTGGCTTGCCTTTTTTGTTAACTATTTCAAAGGGCACAAGTTTTTCATTTTGATGAAATCTATCAATTTTTGCTATTAAGTTTTCTTCTTTTTGCATGCTATTTAAGAAATCTTTCAGTAACCCAATTTTGCAAAGATTTTCTCCTACCTTTTTCTTGAAGTTAGTTTTAGTTCTTATGTTAAAGTTTGTGGTCCATTTTGAAATAATTTTTGAGTGTATGATTAGAGAGTGGTGGTTGAGGTTTATTTTCTCCATATAAAGACCAGTTGTTCCAGCACCACTCTTAAAAGTTCTTTCCTCCATTAAATTATCTTGGAACCTTTTTTTCAAAAATCAGTTGAAAAAGTGGGTCTATTTCTGGACTTTACTCTGTTCCATTAATCTTCATGTCTGTCACCAATACAGCTTTACAGTAAGTCTTGGAAATCAGGTAGTATAAGTCTTCTGATCTTGGTTTTTGCTTTTCCATATAAATTTTACTATGAACTTATCAATTTCTTCCCAAAAGGATTTCCATTGGCTTTATCGATTTTTAAATCCATACATTATGTATTTCAGGAACAAAGAAAACTCAGCTCCACTAGAGGAAAATACCACAGGAAAAAGTGAGGCAAAAAAAAGAAAGATTGCAGAAACTTCAAATGTTATCACTGAGTCATTGCCCTCTGCAGAATCAGAACCTGTTGAAATTGAGGTGGAGATTGCCGAAGGCACAATTGAAGTGGAAGATGAAGGCATCGAAACATTGGAGGAAGTGGCTTCTTCCAAGCAGTCCATAAAGTACATTCAAAGCACAGGTTCCTCTGATGAATCCGCCCTGGCACTGTTGGCAGATATTACCAGCAAGTACCGTCAAGGTGATAGAAAAGGGCAGATAAAAGAAGAAGATGGTTGTGCATCTGACCACACAAGCAAACAGGTAGAAGGTATTGAAATTGTGGAACTTCAGCTGTCACATGTGAAGGACTTGTTCCATTGTGAGAAATGTAACCGTTCATTTAAATTGTTTTACCATTTTAAGGAACACATGAAATCACACTCCACTGAGAGTTTCAAGTGTGAAATATGCAATAAAAGGTATCTTCGGGAGAGCGCATGGAAACAGCACCTCAACTGTTACCACCTCGAAGAAGGTGGAGTCAGTAAGAAGCAAAGAACTGGGAAAAAAATTCACATATGTCAATACTGTGAGAAACAGTTTGACCACTTTGGACATTTTAAAGAGCATCTTCGAAAACATACAGGTAATTAGCAAATCTTTTATGTTAAAAGTATATTTTTCCACATTCACTGCAAGTCTGAGTGTCTAATCCTTTCTTTAAATGAGTTAGCACAGAAGCCATCCTCCTGTATTTTCTAATATGCAGGCTGAGCTCACATTGTTCTCATGATACTAGTTTATTGAAATATTGATACTTTAAAAGTAAAATCATACCAGTTTTGAAAGTAGTTGTTACTCTTACACCTTACCAATTTTTGTGTTTTTAAAAGACATATACAAAACACAGTTTGTGATTATTTACTAAGGATCATAAATTATGAAATCCTAATTAAAGAGAAACTTCACTGTTACTATTTTTACATTTCCTGTCTCTCGTTTATACATTACACAGATGTGTACATTTATGAACAATCCCTGGCGTGTTTATACCTTTGCATACATTTGGTCACCTGTTTTAATCTGGTAGCTAGGTAGGCAGTATATGTTCATCTTCCCACACCTCTTCAGGAGCACACTGTCAGGACTGATGGACAGCCAGGATATGAGAAAGCTAAAGTCTTTTACTGCCCTCCTCCTGGGAGCCCCTCTCAGGCATTCAGGAGCCGTCCCTGGGAGTCTCACTTTGGGCCTCTGGTCCTTAGAGTCCTGCATCCATCCCCTATGCCTGTTTTTCCCCTGTCAGATTCTCTGTCTTTCCACTTCCCAAGCATTCTTTGCTAAGTCTCCTGTGTCACACGCAGGAGTTACCAGCTATGACTTGAATCTTTTGTGTGGGGAGAGCAGTGGATATGGTGTGCTAAGTGTCAGACTCTGGACACTTGTTCCCAAGTTGTTCTGTGTGGTGACTAAAGCTGTTTAAACTGTTTAATACAGTGAATACAACATAGGTATTCCATACTATTTGGAGTCTTTGCTGGAGTTTGGAGAATTTCTAAGAAATTTTTTCATAGATCCTTTGCTGTCCTGAGCTGCTCGCTGCATACTGCTTGAAATTGAGGAAATGGGTAGATTCAGATAAATGGGGTATCCCTCACTTTTAAATGCTTGGTATCAAAACTCGGGGACTGAATAAATGCTTGGTATCAATATTTAGTGGTTACATGAAAAAGAATCTCATACTTAAGTCTCCATATGGATTTAAAAAGCTTTAGGGTACTAGTTTGGGCAACTAATAGGCGTTTATGAAATCTTTTAGGAAAATGCTTTCTGATTTTCAAACATAGGAATATACCTATTGTATATTTAGAAACTGCCTATAATAGTTTTTGGTCCTTAAATATTCATCTGTTTTAATGTAGATTAGTTTTGCAAAACACTTGCTATATCAGCAGCACATTAAATCAGTAAATAAATATTACTTGGTAACTAGTATGCTTTGATAAGGGTTTCCAGTGTCCCAACAGATAATCAGTCACTTCTATCTTCTAGTAATGTAAAAGTAGAAGCAATCGTCTCTCTCTCTCTCTTTTTTTTTTTTTTTTACATTCCCTGGTGACTTACCTGTTGAAAAACAGGCAACACAGACTATTTTAGAAGTTTTAAAATGTGCTTTCCACATCCTATTGTATTTTGGATTAAACAGCAGAATATAGAGCTAAAGTATATTATGTTGTACGTCTTTATAATTACATGAGATAATTAAGCAGTTGCTACAAATTATAGAACTAGATGTCCATTGGAGAAACAGTTTAACATATAAAGCAAGCTGAACTTTTGTTGGCATTTAACCTCAATTAACCGTACTAGTAATTAGTAACAAGATAGTTGCAGATGTGATAAGTGACTTGGTGAATTCAAGAGGAACATAAGTAGTTTTAAATTGTGCTTATGTTAATAAAGAATGGATCATTTCTTGCTTATAACAAACTCAATGTAAACATAAGGAAACAATCCCGTTCCTGTTTCCTATTCTCAAAATATACATAAATCCCCCTCAGTTTCATATTTTGCATACTTTTATTAGTTTAGCAGTTTGGTTTCTTCAGTGTTCTTAAAACAGGCACTATAGTCTATGGCTTGATTTGCAAAATTTGGTTGTTGTCCTCTGAATTATTTTGTTTCCATTTGGAAAATAGTAATGCCAACCTGCTGGGTCATGGAGATAAATGTTAAGAGTCCCTGCCTTCAAGGAGCTTACGCTTGTGTTGGGGGAGACAAGCAGGCACAGTCACATGTGATGGGCTAAGGGCTGGTAGATGTCAGCACACGGTCTTATGCGAATGCCTGCCTGGGCTGCTTATTTATGATGGAAGAGACAGGGATGGTTTCCTGGAGCATTCACCCTATAATGACTCCCAAAGGAAAAGGAGTTAGCCAGGACATGGGCATTCCAGGTACAAGAAATGAAGCATGCACAGGCATAGAGGAAAGAGAGAGAGAGACACATGTTTGGAGCACTGCTGGTAGGTTACTATGGCTGGAGGATTGGGTCCAAGTAGAGGAATGACAGGAGATGTAGCTGGAAGAGTTAGAAAGGCTACCAGGTGGCATGCACTTAGGCATCATGGACAAGGGCAAGGGAGAGAAAGTGATGGAAGATGAAGCCAAGATCACATTATTTTCATAAATGTCATACATGAATTTGGATTTTATCTTGAAAGACTGAGTCATTTAAAGATGTTTAAACCAGGATCAGATTTATGTTTTAGAGGGATGACTGGCAGGATAGATTGGAGTGGGGTGAAACCTCCGAAGTCTAATTAGGAAGCTGTTGGAACAGTCTAAGCAAGAATGAAGAGTTGAGTAAAGGCAGTGATAGTGGAAGAGGGTTAGAGATGTGAATAAAGTAGGTAGAATCATCAGGATTTGGTGACCAGTGAAATATGGGAGTAAGTCTCAGCTTTCTGGCTTGGGTGCCTACAGGATTGGAGGTTTATTAACTTAGAAAAATATAGAAGGGTAAGCACTTTAGGGGTGGGAGGAGATACCAGACATATTGACAGATTTACCTATGGGACACCTAGTATGAGAGAGAACCTAAAGGTGATCTTTAACCATGTCTTCAAATGTTACCTGTTTCCCAGAGAGGAGGTATGGAACTATAGAAAGAATGTGGGTCTGGAAATCAGAATTAGATTCCAGCTCCAGTTCTGACATTTGCCAGTATGATGAACTTGACTGGTCACTTTATCTTTGGGTCTCTTTCCTCGTCTGTGTAAATATGGGTAATAATAACCTACTTTATAGGGTTGTGACAATTAAGAGAAAACAGTAAAAGCACTTTGAAGACTGTGCTGTCTACACATCTAAAGTAGAATTAATCTGTTGCTATTTCTAGGTTTTATTGGACTTAGCTAATTTTTTAAATAGCAAAACTCAAATGACATAAAAGCTGAAATGACATACAATGATCAGTAGAGAGAGATTAGTAGATCTCTCCAGAAGCAACTACTGCCATCATTTTCTTATTTATCCTTCCCTATCTGTTCTTTGCATTTTTGAGTCACCACAGAAAGACACACAGTTTTTTTGGGGAAAAAACGAGGCATGCAGTACAATGTCATGCCATTTCTCTTAAACTCTTTAAATATGTGAAAATTCAGGAATCTATACTTCCTCCCCTCCCCCATGGCTGCATGGTGTTTCGGTGTATGGGTATGCCATAATTTACATATATATGTGTGTGTGTATATATATATATTTTTAAGATTTTATTTATTCATTTGAGACACAGAGATAGAGCATGAGCAGGGAGAGAGGCAGAGGGAGAGGGAGAAGCAGGCTCCCCACCGAGCCAGGAGCCTGATGTGGGGCTCGATCCCAGGACCCTGGGATCATGACCTGAGCTGAAGGCAGACGCTTAACCATCTGAGCCACCTAGGCGCCCCCATAATTTATCTATATTGATACACATTTAGGTTGTTGCTAGTCTTTTGCTATCCAGACTATGCTGGAATAAGCATACTTGTGCATATATCTTTGTGTATGTGTTCAAGAGCAGAATTGCCAAGTCAAAGAATATGTACATTTTAAATCTTGGTATATGTCATGAAATTACCATTTAAAGAAGCTATACCAATTTATAGTGAAAAAATTATGCACTACTAAAACCACAGAACTTTTTTTATTTAGCAGTATCTCCCAATATTTGAGTTGAAAAGGAGTTTCTGTACCAACAGTAATTCTAGATCATAAGGTCTAATTTTTTCATCTCATGAACATAATACAAAAAATAAATTATTTTTTTTGTCAGGGAAAAAACGCAGGGACGCCTGGGTGGCTCAGTCGGTTGAGCGTCTGCCTTTGGCTCAGTTCATGATCCCAGGGTCCTGGGATCGAGTCCCCCATCGTGCTCCTTGCTCGGTGGGGAGCCTGCTTTTCCCTCTGCCAGCCGCTCCCTCTGCTGTGTGTGTACTCTCTCTCTGACAAATAAATAAATAAAATTAAAAAAAAAAAACACAACTCAAAGTTACTTAACTAGTATGGGGGTCACAACTAGGACCTCATCACTGGGGCCTGTTCTCTGCAAGCATCATGCTCTCCCTTGAGTTCTCCCTCTCCTTCTCTTACTCTGACTCTACCTCAGTTAGCCTGCTAGTGCTTCCATCCCTCTCCACCTAGCTTATTGCCCCATTTCTGACTTCTCTATCTTATCTTGTCCTCCTTGTATACAGCTTGAATCAATTTTTTTTTTTGCATGCTAAGCATATTCCCTTGGCTTTTGAGCCCACTTGCTCTAAAAATACCCTTTAAAAAATCCTGGAATTATTGCAGTCATTTGCCTCCCTCTACTCCCTGCTGAGGACTTTTGGGGAAAAAAATCATATCAGACCTTACATTAGGCCTTTTGTTGTCTGATTTATATCTTTCTTTGCCAAAATTGCTATTCTAGACCTTCAGTCCAATACTCAAGACCCTGCCCACGCCCCACCCCGGCAAATGACGTATGTATCATCTGTCAAAACTCTCCATCCTCTCTACTTCCGTGCCTTTTTGGAAGAATTTCTGTACTGTTTTCATTGACTTGCCTCTCATCCCACCATAGTCTGGCTTCTAACCCCACCACCATATCACTCACACTGTTCTCACTAGAATTAGTACAATCTCCTGTTGTTGTCCTACCTGACATCTCTGTTCAGTTTGGCAATGTTTACTGCCCTCATCTTCCTGAAATTTCTTGATTTCCGTCTTTGCTGCCTCGTTTACCTGGTGTTTTTACTTGGTGTTTCGTTGAGTTCTGTCCTTTATTCTGTTTTCACATAACATACTTAGAGTTTTAACCACATCAGAGGTTTTTATTTCCACGTAAAGTAACTCCTAATCTGTGTATCAGTCCACCTTCTATTTGGCTTCAGATTAGTCCATACAGCTGTTTACCAGACTTTTCCACTTTGAGTACCTTCAAATCAACAGATACATAACTAAATTTATTATCTTTCCTAACACACTTTCCACTCCAAACCTACTTGGATTTCTGTGTTCTTTATTCCGGTTGGTATTCTAAGCCAGAGACCTGGGAGTCATTGCTGATACCTTCCCTCCTTACTCCTCACCCACCATGTTGTTTTATACTTCCGTGCCTCTGCTTAGAATAAACTTCCCTCTTTCCTTCTCTTACTCCATTCCAGGCAGAATACTCTCCTCCTTCCGTGCTGCTGGAGTACATTTTCCATTGCCCTTTTTTCTGAAACAGGCCTTCTGCGGTACATTGCAGGTGCTTATTTCTATGTATTTCACCTTTGTAAAATACTCTGGCCTGTGATAGAGTTTTTAAAAAGGACAGTTTATTTATCATCATCACCTAGCACATGGTCTGGCACATAGTAAGTGCTCAAAAAATGCTTCTGGATGCATTTCCCCAACATAGAGATTGATCTTGATTTTTACCTAAGGGAAAATAAACAACTTTTTTTTTTTTTTTAAAGATTTTATTTATTTATTCATGAGAGACGGAGAGAGAGAGAGAGAGAAGCAGAGGGAGAAGCAGGCTCCCAAGGAGCAGGGAGCCCGATGCGGGACTCCATCCCAGGACACTGGGATCATGACCTGAGCCGAAGGCAGACGCTTAACCATCTGAGCCACCCAGGCGCCCAATAAACAACTTTTTAAGAGTAGCAAAAACATGAAACAGAACGCAGATCCAAATTTTATTTCTTCCTCAAAGCACGAATACAATAATAATAATTACTGAAAACTTATTATTATTTCCACCTCGAGGAGAGTCTTTTGGATGTGGTAGAAACATCTGAATTATGAATTCAGATCTTCCTTTCAAGAAGGTGCTATTAGCATTAACCAAAAAGAAAAAAACTTTTATTTGCTTTTTTTGTTTTTCTTGATTTGTCAATATAATTTTTTTCTGTTGTAATAGGTGAAAAACCTTTTGAATGTCCAAATTGTCATGAACGATTTGCTAGAAATAGCACCCTCAAATGTCACCTGACTGCGTGCCAAACTGGAATAGGGGCAAAAAAGGGAAGAAAGAAGCTTTATGAATGTCAGGTACGTGTGGGTGTATTCTGTCCTTAGCAAAGCAGTGGTCTGTGTTGGAAATCATTAAAAGTGAAGGGTAGCTGAGTATAGAGTGAAAGTATAGAGCTGATCGTTTGGAAAGAATAAGAGTAAAGAACATCACTGTCTTGATTTTAGAAGGAAGATTAGGGTGTTTTTTTACTCAACCCTAGATGACACCAATTTCAATAAAATTATGTCCTAGATAATAGATAATCTGAAACTGGTTATTCTTAACCACTGAGCAATTACTAGAATTTGGGAGTGAGGCAGTGGGGGGCTGGCTGACTAGCTGTGATCAGCTCTTCCTCCATGATTAGTGTGTATATAACCCAAATAATGTAATTGTTCTAAATGGTAATGGTACTATGGGAGAAATTATAATATTGGTACTTTATATTCTTCGAATTTATACGACATTTAAACAATGAAGGCAGTGTTAAAATGTTTCCCAGGATGTATTTGTTAGCTACATCAGCTAAAAGATCAAATAAAAGAATTATGAAATCTTAGACCACGTGATAAATATCATACATTTTTCAGAAAATTTCAAATTTTTCCTTAAAGAGAATAAATGCATTCATATTTTCTTCAGTTTAAATATTAGTATTGTTAAAACCATATGTTTGGTTATTTCAGGTCTGTAACAGTGTGTTTAACAGCTGGGACCAGTTCAAAGATCATTTGGTAATACACACTGGAGATAAACCCAACCATTGTACTTTATGTGACTTGTGGTTTATGCAAGGAAATGAATTAAGGAGGCATCTCAGTGATACTCACAATATTTCAGAGCGTCTAGTAACTGAAGAAGTTCTTTCAGTAGAAACACGTGTGCAGACCGAACCTGTGACATCAATGACTATTATAGAACAAGTTGGGAAGGTGCATGTGTTACCATTGCTTCAGGTTCAGGTGGATTCAGCACAAGTGACTGTGGAACAGGTCCATCCAGATCTGCTCCAGGACAGCCAAGTGCATGATTCACATATGAGTGAGCTTCCAGAGCAGGTCCAGGTGAGTTATCTAGAAGTGGGTCGAATTCAGACTGAAGAAGGTACTGAAGTACACGTGGAGGAGCTGCATGTCGAACGGGTAAATCAGATGCCAGTGGAAGTACAGACTGAACTTCTAGAAGCCGACTTGGAACAAGTGACCCCTGAAATCATGAACCAGGAGGAGAGAGAGCCTCCCCAAGCAGATGCTGCTGAGGCTGCCAGGGAAGATCACCAAGATGCTGATGGTTTAGAGACCAAATCAACAGTGGATTCCCAAGCAGGGAATGAGAACAGAACACCTATGCCTGTTTTAGAATGAAATAACAAATGAATATATTTTTAAATTTATGTGTTGGATTTTTGAACTGCTGATGGGCAGTGTGACTGTCCTTAGGCTAACAGACAAGTGGACCAAAGTTAAAGTCTTTACTGTTGTGAACTGTTTCTGTTGAAACAAACTGATTTCCCCCCACTTAATGCCACAGAGGAGGGATCTTTCCCATAAGTGAACGGGAAGCTTTTGAGAAGTATTATTTCTGGAAACTTAAATGGATTATATTCTTATTATATAGTTGGGTACGAATGTATCTATTTTCATTGTGATAAGGGTTCTCCCTTCTCTCTTTCCCAGGTCATGTCCTTTCTCAGATTCTTTCCATGTTGTAAAATCAAACATAAAATCATTAGAATACAAACAATGTATTCTAATGCATGTTAGAAAATTGAATATATAGGAAACACAAGGCTGCATGAAGAAAAGTACATTGTTACTGTGCAGTTAAATTTTGGCTTCTGGCTTTCTTTAGTTTGAACAACCTCGTCTATACTGATAGTCACAGATGTCATCTCTGCAACAGAAACAGAGTGGTGGTGGCAAAATTTCTAGAATGTAAAAAAAAAAAACCCACACCCATGTGCCTTTTCAAAACCAACTAAACTTCTTTAAAGTGTCTCTGGTTCTTTCAAAATTTGTGTTGTAAGGAGCAATGTAGGTGATGCTATAGTATTTTATGTTTTTGCTTATAATGGCAACTACCAATTCTTCTTCTTGGTAACTTAGGTTGAGAAATTTCATTTAATGGCAACTGAAGGGCCACTTCCAATTGGGAAAATTCATTTATATCTGTGGTAAACTTTTTTTTTAAATGAAAGGTTGCACTAGTATTTTACCACCAGATGAAAAAAAGATGAGCATCATTTAAAAATTAATGTATTTAAAATAAAGTACAGAGAAAAACATGTATATAATATATCAGGCTTTGTTTTGAATGAATCTTTTTCCCCCGATCCTTAATGTAAAGATCTTGTGCTATAACTTTTAAAGCCATACAAATAAGAGTGCTAAACTGTGGACTTAAAAGTAGGTGTGTAAATATTTTTAATCAGTATTACTTGGAAAATAAAATATAACAACCACATAAAATAAACCAATATGCTATTTTCTTTACCTGTTAAATATTGGGAGATACTTACATTTTTAAAGTAAAGTTTAAAATTATGTGTTCATGACTCTTTTTTTTTCTTTTTGATTACTAGTGTAGAAGTTGGTTTGTGTTCGGAGACCTTGTATTAACATGACTGATACATGAATTAAGATCTACAGTTTTCAGTATGCACCTCTAATCCCCAAAAATCAGTTCCAAAGAATGGAAGGAGGCAGAGGTTGGCATTTGCTGTTCTTCCATGGTAGGGCAGAAAAGCCAATGGAATTTTTAAAATAGAGCCTATTTTTAATATACTTTCTCCACTTACTACTAGTATGTTAAATTTAAAAGATCACTTCAGCTTATCCTCATTTGGTAATCCTAATATTAACTGTTTATGAATTGTTCGAACGAGAATGGCTCCCCACAACTGGAGAGGTCATGGATTTAGAGATAACAGGAATAAGAAGTTGAGTTTTTAAGATCAAAAAATTGAATGCAGTTGTACATTCTGCTTGGCCATTGGGTACTTACTACAAAGCTGATATAGATATATTTTCCCCCCTTTGGAGTCAGAATACTGATGATAGAGTTAAATTATATTACATGGAATTTTCAGTTTGCCATAAGATGTCCATGTTCCTGAGTTAGTTGTAGTTTAAAAAGAAAAAAAAAATCCCTGACAGTGGTTTCAAATATGTAAATAACTAGTTAGTATCTAGTGAATTTTGAATGCTGAAAATAGCGCATGATGTGCCCTTTAAGCCAAGGTATGAAGCGAGGCTTATTTTTAAACATAACCTTTCAAGAACTCTGACACAAGGTAGAGATCAGGGACAAAGGCACAAGGAGGTGTTAAAATTAACACTTGAGTTTTCAGATTTGGCAAGGCCTTTCAAAACAGGTTTGAGGGGCAGGTATAGTTTATTTTACTTTCCCCAAAAGGTAGAAGGGCTGTATCAGTGTACCCTGAATGCCAGTAAATTTGATTGCAGGAGAGGAAAGCTTCCCACTGGTGATAAACGTTGTGTTGATTAGCACTTTGCAAAACATTCTACATATAGTAAAAACAACTATGAAAAACCATGATGTATTTTTAAGTACTGAACTGAATATGTTATTCCTCCCATTTTACTCCAATGGGGTTTTTAGGTCTACAGTGACAGCTGGGCCTTAGAGTGCCAGACACTGGTCATCACAGGAATCCCAAGTGCACTGCAGAATGACAGGAGAGCCTCTTCTGTCTGCCCTACTCCACTGTTCTAACAAACAGCGGTACTTCTATTCTCCAACACCACCTGGGTGTCCAACAAGTCACTTCTGACACCAGCCAGTGTTAGCATAGTCTCTATAAGTTATCAGTACAAGACAATAGCCAAAAATGAGGTATCCAGGATACCTGCACTTCTGCCCTGACAACTACAAATGAGGGGGTTCCCACCCTTGTCAGGTTCAATACACTAGAACAACTCAGACGTGAGGGAAGCACTAGTATAGTTTTATTATAAAGGATACAACCCAGGGGTGCCTGGCTGGCTCAGTTGGTAAAGCATGCAACTCTTGATCTCTGGGTTGTAAGTTCCAGCCCCACGTTGTGTGTAGGAATTACTTTAAAATCTCTTTAAAAAAAAAAAAAAAACACACACCCAGGAACAGCCAAATGGAAGAGATGTCCAGGGCAAAGGGAGTGGGGGGAAGTGGGCAGAGCTTCCATGACCTCTTGATGCTCCACCCTCCTGCACATGGATGTGTTCACCAACCTGGAAGCTCTCTTAACCCCTTACTTAACTTTGTTTACTAAAGTTTCATTACCTAGATGTGATTGATTACATCATTGGCCATTGATTATTGAACTCACTCTCCAGCCATTCCTTCCCTGGATATCTTGGGGTGTGGCTGATCGTTGTAGCCCTCTAATCATTTGGTTGGTTCCTCTGGTGACCAGTGCCAAGATCACCTCATGAGCATAAACTCAGGTATGGGCAAAAAGCTTATGACAAAAGACATCACTCAGGAAATTCCAAGGATTTTAAGAGCTCTGTGCCAAGAACCAGGGACAAGACTGAATACATATATTTTTTTTATTATACCACACCTACAATCAGATTCAAAGGAGAACTAAACCGCACCCTAATAGGAATACACTTAAAACCCAGAAGTCTTTTGAATATGTATGAAAACAGAAGGCTGTTACAGTCTTACTAGTTTAAAAAGGCTGCCCTCAGTGTTCCTCAGGTCAGTCTGTTAGGCATCTGCCTTTGGTTCAGGTCATGATCCCAGGGTCCTGGGATTGAGCCCCACATCAGGCTCTCTGCTCGGAGGAAAGCCTGCTTCTCCCTCTCCCTCTGCCACTCCCCCACGAGCTCTCTCTCTGTCAAATAAATAAAATATTTAAAAAATAAATATGGCACCTGGGTGGCTCAGTCCTTAAGCATCTGCCTTCAGCTCAGGTTATGATCTCAGGGTCCTGGGATCAAGCCCCGCATTGGGCTCCCTGCTCGGCCGGAAGTCTGCTTCTCCCTCTCCCACTCCCCCTGCTTGTGTTCCCTCTTGCTGTGTCTCTCTCTGTAAAATAAATAAATAAAATCTAAAAAAAATAAAAAGGCTGCCATCCTCATACACTCCTGAAGGTGGGAATATTTTTGTGGAAACAGAAATGCTTGTTTCTGCTACATTCAACTTGAAATTAATCACTTTATAACTGGAATAAGCCAACAGTACTGACTGAGGCCTAAATGTAGATAAAGTCTATACCAGAAAATCAAGCCCATTTTAATGTACATCTTCAATTTAACATGGGTTATTTTAAACCCATGATCAGATAGATGGTCATTAACATGTTCACATGGAAACACTGTTTTATAACTATGCCATGCAAAATTATAAGGGAATGCCTGACCTTAAAAGCTTAGCCTGATTCTGTTGGAGAAAACTTAATAGCTTCGCATTCATTAGGTTACCACTGTTAGTTACGTTAGGAGAGGGGGGAACCTAAGCTCAACGTTTTTAAGATATAATGCGCTGAGTTGTGCTGTGGCTCTTACACAGTTTGTCATAAAAGATTTAAATGAGAAGCAGCAGGAATTAAAACTTAAACCCTCACCAGAACCACTAATTAATAGGATCTTTTGTAGTTGGAGGCCTAGAAGTGTACTGCTTTAAAATGCTAAACACAGAGACTGCCATTATAAATGTATCCTGACCTTATGGGGATATCTTAAAATTACTGTGTTGTATAAACATTACTTCATTAATCCTGTCGACATGATAAATAGGAAGGCAGGCTGTGAATTCAATATTTTTTTCTTCTCACCTTTCCTAAAACCTAATATCACATAATTATTCACCTGAAGCAATGCCCACCTTGTTGGGCATTGTACCAAAACACAGCCTAGGATAGAAAAATCTCGTGACATGATAGCATCATTTATGAATCACTTATATCCTGAACATTTAACATTTTAATCCTCTCAATGACCTCCTGAGGTAAATATAAATGGGGAAAGTAAGGGACGGAGGAGATGAGAAACCACTGGTAAAGAATAGAGCCAGTATTTGAAACCAGGGAACTGGACTCCACAGACTACAGCCTTGATCACTGAAATACAGTTAACCTTTGTATGAGATCTCTTTGTGGTTGACAACATTGGATTGCACAGAGCAAAAGCTAAACATCTGTTTTTTCAGAATCCACATCAGCCCTTCTTGATGGGGTTTGGAGTGCAGGGAACAGGACATCAGAAAAGCTGGCAAGATACATGCAGCAAATTGTCTTTTGATGTCTCCTTGCCATCTGGCCCTAAGACAACACCATCTAGGCAATGGTTCTCCAACTTAGTGTGCATCAGGATCTTGTTAAAACATTGCTAGACCCCCCCACTCTGAGTTGCTGATTCAACTGGCCTGGATTAGGGCCCCCAAAAGTTCATGTTTAACAAGTTCCCAGCTAATACTAACACCCTTAGTCCTGGAACCAGGGTCAATTGGGGAACAAGGGGGATAGGGCACTTCAAAGAAGCACCGACGAGTAGCCAGTGGAGTGGACCTTTCTGATGGTCTCTTTTTTATAGTGTAGCCAGGTGCTACTCTAAAAATATCCTGTTACCTATTGTTCATGTTTATCATTTAAGTAATGGACTGGGCTAAGGCAGTTGTCTAAGGTTTTTTAATTTCAAGCAAGAACATTCTGCTTATTCATTCTCAGTAAATAATTGCTTTTCTGCTTCTAAAATGAAAATGCCACAAAGACAAATGTTAGAGAATAATAGGAAATTAAACACCAAAAATCAGGGGCACCTGGGTGGCTCAGGTCATGATCCCGGGGTCCTGAGATTGAGCCCCACATCAGGCTCCCTGCTAGCAGGGAGCCTGCTTCTCCCTCTCCCTCTGCCTCTCCCCCTGCTGCTTGAGCTCTCTCTCAAATAAATAAAATCTTAAAAAAAAAAAATCAGAATAGTTGACTAGGAATAGTTATGCTTCTTCTTAGTAACCCAAATATACTTTAGACAAAAAATGTTAGCTAATATCTGCTGAGAAGTAAATGCCAATATATGAATTCACTTAAGAGACTAGCTGATCATTAGCTATGGTTTTGCGGTCTGGTAGACTGTCTATATTAGGACAGAAACTTGCCTGTGAAATAATAGTTACCTATTAGATACAGCTGTGAACTACTATGGAAGGAATACTATGGGTTCAGAACCCTCGTCCAATTAAAATGGTGCCCATCAAAAACTAAGATTCAAACAAATGTAATGTGTCAAGTTTTATTTTTATAAATTTTCATAAGATAATTTTTGCTTATCAGTGGGCCCAAGGCTCTTAAGCTGTTCTTCATTGCCCAGTTGTAAATAATACACAAAGGCCAATTATAAGAACATATTACACTAATTGCTATACGTGGCTGGCTACATATTGAAGAAAAGTTTGGAGTATAGTTGCTACTATAGTGAGAATCTCAGGGACTCAAATTTTATAATGAAAATTTCTCAAGATCACAATTTGTTTTTTTCTTTCTCTTATCTGTTGTATTTTACCTT